CCAGATTCTAGTCAGTGAAATCTGCTGTAATTATTAATATATTTAATGCAATTCAAACAAAGTGTGCATTGTCTGTTAATTTTTTCTACAATGGAATCTGTTCTCTGAATTTTTGGCAGATCAAATACATTCCTTTCTTTTCCTCCTTCCACCCCTCCAATCCCAGAACATGAGATGCATGGGCGCTTTGACGGGATGATGAATGTTCTAAGGGTGAGTAAGAGATGCTGTAAAATTAACAACAAATGCAAGGGAATTGAATAACATAAATATATCATTATTGGCCATAATGGGAATATTACAACTTTCCCTCTGGGCTGTTTTCCATTCAAGGATCTATAGGTTTTTATACATATTCCTCAAATCAGAAATGGTTGCTTAAACTGGGCCAGTGGTTCTGCCAGTGGAATATGTAGCACTTGCCTGTTCCTATGAAAAGATCACTTATTACACAGTATTATACAAGGCAGGGTTAGGATCTGCCTAGCATGACCTTTGTTGGCACAGTGACCCCCTTATCTCAGAAGAATATTGTTCTATAGGATGTCCCAGTGTTTAGAATTGGTGAAGGGCTCTCATTTTTTTTTTAAACCAACATCCTCATATTGGAGTTAACAAGAGTTTTTTAGCCTGGAGCTCTTGATGGCTTTGGCTAAATCTTACCCAAGGCCAAATGGGGAGTTTCTGAATGTGTATTCAAGCCCAGGACTTCTAGTCCCAGCACCCAAATCACTACACACCACTGTCTCAAGGTTTTGTTGGTTTTGTGTGTGTGTGTGAGAGAGAGAGTGTCATGGGTGACTTAAGAAGCTGCAAGTTGCTTCTGGTGTCTCAAGGTATACTGGGAAGAAATAAGATTGAGTTATTTCTGCCCCTCATTTGTATCTTGTTTGGCCTTAGGAAAATGTGTTGTAGAACTTTATCTCACCAGTGTGTTGTCAAAATCAAATACAGATATACTCCACAGATTAAGTTGTTCTTGTTTCAAATTTGTAAATTTTAACATTTATAGAATTGCTAGAACAGAATATGCTTTTGATAATACAATGGACAGTCTTATAACTAACATAGCTTGGGGTAGGGATGGGCAAAGAACCTACATGTTGTTGGACTTCACTCCCAGCATTCCCATTATTGGGTAAACTACTTATGATACTATTGGGAGTGGGAATCCAAACACTATTTTGATGGCCATGCTTCATCTAGACCTGGTTTAGCTCTCCACATGTCTCATTCTGATCCTGAGACTGCACTACTGCACTATATCCTTGGTTCTCTCACTACTTTCTCTTGATAGGATGAGAAAGCATGGACGTAAGACCCTATAGATTGGAAGATTTTTTGATTATGGGTCTTGCAATCGCCTGAAAGTAATGATCCCTTATATTAGTCTTGCTGGTCCTCTGCATACATATATCCATCAGTAGAAATTGATGGGATCCATAGAATATGCAGAAAAGGACAATTTTCAGTAATTCTTACTAAATTTGATGGAAAGGCTCCTTTTCACTGCAGACACTAGGATTAGGAGGATAATTATCAACCTCAGTGCTTGCTCATATCATATGAGGCACTGACAAGAAAAGACAACCAAGCAATGGTTTTCAGTCATTGTCCTCCCCCCCTCTCCCCAAATATATACTTTGCACACATTCACTTCACTAAGAAATCATGCATTTATTACCTAGTGAAATATTTTAAAATATTCACAGAAATACAGTAAAACTCCACAAGTCACAACAGGTAATTTTGAGACTCAGACAAATTGTTTGAGTCTACTATAAAAATCTATGACTGGGAACAGGTGAGACAGACTTTTATGATTTAGTTGAACAACCTCCCTCCTTTTAAAAACGAGTTAAGGTCAAAGAAAGAGATGGAATTAACTTGCTTGAATCCTTGCCAGGTTATATGCACAATGACCAGTGGGACTGTTGTGAGAATGGGCTGTAATTGGGAAAGGATGCTCTTTTTCTGTGTTCAGAATAGGGTACCTCTGGTTGCCCTTTAGCTATAAAGATTTGGGCTAACAGCAACAGATCATACCTCATACAAAATATGTCAGAGAGTGGAAGAAATAGATTTCCCCTGCTTCTGAAATGAAACTGAAATATTTTGTCACAGGCCGTGCAAAAGACAATCATGACTAAGACTTATTATCATGCTTTTGAAGAGATTTCATAGTGACAAACATTTACTAAGCTCTATCAAGGTTATTCATTAACTGAAGTAAACAAACATACATCTACACAATTTTCATGATAGGTTCCAGTATGAAGAGACTTTTTAGTAATCAACCACATGCTGATTATTGGACTGTCTGCAGACCTCCAATAAAATCTGAACGTTTCTGTAAACTGCATGCCAAAGGTTTCTGAAATCCACTTGATCTCAGCCCACAGAATTGTATGCTAAGGTTAGGACTATATTGTTACTGCTATTTGAAGGTCAATTGGATACATTTTTACCTGGAAGTGATCTAAGTTCTGTGAGACTTCTCTTTATAGCTGAATCATACAATTCTCCAGAGTTTCATTTCGTTTGATGAGATATACTTCATATATATGACTAGTCATGCAGGTAGCTCCTATGGTTGTGCACATGGGCTTATCTAGAAGCAGCAGCACTGTATGGCATGACTTAGGCTTCATCTGCACTGACCATTTAATGCAGTTCCAAATTTGAAGAAAGTGGTTTAAGAGTGCATATGATTACACAGGAAATTCTGGAGTCAGTTTGAGGACTGGATGGTGATTATACAAACCACAGAGCACTGATGCATGCTAAGGGTTTTCTTTCACACTGTTGTGGAAATCTGTTGTCTAACCAACAGATTTGAAGGTAGCCTCGAACTGCATTCAATGCTCAGTGCAGATGTGTTCTTGGATAGCCACTGCTGTGTGTATTCATTAATGGAGGTCCAACTGGTCCAAGATGTGGCAGTAGTCAAAAGCTAGATAAGCAATCTGAGAAACCTCATGGGCAATGTTTACAAGAAAGCCAGGAAACTCTGTCAAAGCTGTAATTGTACCTTGATCTTTCAAAACATCAATAGTTCATATAGTTGAGGAAAGAATGAATAAGCAATTGTGTAAGGAAAATGGATTTAATGAAATACTTCAAAAGACACCTCTCATTCATTGTTGGATACAAGAGCTATTTTTGGAATTAATATAAAACAAATGAAACAATGATTGTATAGTTAGCTTTACCCTGCTATCCCCGAATATGACACACTGGAAGAATACTGAAATAGAGATAAAAGGAGTGAAGTCAAAGACAGTTTATGTTGACACTGTACACTTAATATACTGACAGGATTAACAGAATTCCTAATGTGTTGTCAAAGGCTTTCATGGCCGGAATCACTGGGTTGCTGTGAGTTTTGCGGGCTGTAAGGCCATGTCCCAGAAGCCTTCTCTCCTGACATTTTGCCCATATCTGAAGGTCAATTGGAAACATTGACTTTCAATTGGTTACATTGATGCTTGTCATAGATGTGGGTGAAACGTCAGGAGAGAATGCTTCTGTATTGAGGACAAATCAGGTAAAGGTATATATGTGTATGATACACACACACAAACAAACACATACACTACCTGTATCTGCCACGCGTTGCTGTGGCCAGCCAGCCTTCCCTCCTTCTTTCTCTCCTTCCCTTTCGTCCCCCCATTTTCTTTCCCTTCCTCGTTCTCCCCTTTCTTCCTTCACTACCTATTCTTGGACTGCAACTCCCAGAAGCTCTCCTGATCCATCTACCTACCTACCTTTCTATCTCTATCTAATCTATCTATCTGGAGGATTGCTGGGAGTTGCAGTCCAGGAACAGGAAATTGGAAATATGGAGGGATTTAGATGCTCTCAAAAAAAAAAAATCCAAGAAGCTTGCAGCTTGGAAGCAGTGCATTTGGATCATCTTCTTCTCCTAAAAGGCCTGGCCTAGGAGATGCTGGGAGCTGTAGTCTGGAAAAGAGTGCGGATATGCTTTTGTGTGTTTTGTTTGCCGGGAGAGACGTTTTTGTGCATGTGCTGTAGCGTTTTTTTTGCTTTTTTGGCCTTTTAAATCCGTTTTTAGGAGTGATGGTCAATTGTTGGCTTGATAGGTGTGTGTTGTTGTTCATTCGTTCAGTCGTCTCCGACTCTTCGTGACTGTGTCCAAATTTGGTGTCAATTCGTCCAGTGGTTTTTGAGTTATGCTGATCCCACAAACGAACATTACATTTTTATTTATATAGAAGATAGATGATATATAGACTCTCAGTTAAGCAGAACTGAAGTAACCAAACTTCTAAAGCTGGCCCCTCCAGGGGTTTTGGACTTCTACTCCCACAATTCCTAAGAGCTTACCTGGAGGGCCGAAGTTTGCCCATGCCTGCTGTAAAGCATCTGGCTATTGCTTCCATAGCATTGTTGAAGGCTTTCATGGCTGGAATCGCTAGGTTCTTGTAGGTTTTTTCGGGCTATAGGGCCATGTTCTAGAGGCATTTCTCCTGACGTTTCGCCTGCATCTATGGCAAGCATCCTCAGAGGTAGTGAGGTCTGTTGGAAATAGGAAAATTGGTTTATATATCTGTGGAATGACTGGGGTGGGGCAAAGAGCTCTCTGCTGAAGCTAGGGAAACAACCAGGCACATCTTAACACCTCTCAACAGAACATTTTCCCAGGCTCAGCCAAGCCTTCCAATGCTAATGAAGGTGGTCAGATGAAACATTCACACCTAGCTTCAGCAGAGAGCTCTTTGCCCCACCCCAGTCATTCCACAGATATTTAAACCCATTTTCCTATTTCCAACAGACCTCACTACCTCTGAGGATGCTTGCCATAGATGCAGGCGAAACGTCAGGAGAAATGCCTCTAGAATATGGCCCTATAGCCCGAAAAAACCCACAAGAACCTAGCTTCCATAGCAGTTCAAGCATTGATATGGAGTATGCAGTATGGAGCAGCGAGGCAAGACGCACGCGCAGTAAAGTTTCTGTCTGCTAGAGTGATCTTCTCAGCAGGGAAACACGCATGCGCAGTAAAAACCCTTCAGCTCTCGGGTGGGAGTCCTTAAAGGGCCAGCCAAGGGAAGAGGGCTGGGAGTGACATGAGGGAAACGGCTCAGGGATAAGAGGCGGGCATTGCCTTTCTTTGCCTCAGGAAGGTGACAATTCCACAATGGCGTCGCCAGCGACCGGCCTTGGTGAAGCGGTGTCCGGGCCGAGGCCGGCGCCTCCGGTGTCAGTGGCGGCCGTGCTGCCTGCCGGAGGGAGCGGGGAGCGGATGGGCGGCGGGACCCCGAAGCAGTTCTGCGACCTGTTGGGGCGGCCGCTCGTCAGCTATACCGTGCAAGCCATGGAGAGGTAAAGAAAAGGGGGGGAGGGGACTAGCCCTCTCCGCCTCAGCCAACGGGTACTCCGCATTCCACGCATGCGCACAGAGGCGACCGGGGAAGGTGCGCGCGCATACTTCCCTCACAGTTCTGAGAGGAGTATGCAAGGGAATGCTGTGCTTTCTCTGAATGGACCAGGAGGAGAGGAAATAGGATTTATGCCCGCAGCTGGGGTCTGTGTGCATATTGACTTGGAAATAAAAGTCTTGTTAGGCTTTGGGTGTAGCTACATTACAGTTTGACAGCCCTTGACTCAAGGCTATGAACTCTTGGGAGTTGTAGTTTGGTGAGGCACCAGCACGCTCGGGCAGAGAAGGCTGAAGGCCTTATAAGCAGTTAAATTGAGGGGGGGGGGGGTCAAACTGTAGTATTTGGCAGAGAAAGTTAAAGACCTTGTACAAATACAATCCCATCACTCCATAGCATTGAGCATGGCAGTTAAAGACAGGGAAGGGGGTCAAACCACTATTTGGCAGAGAACGTTAAAGACCTTGCACAACTACAACTCCCATCATTCCATAGCATTGAGTCATAGAAGTTAAAGGCCGGGAAGGGGGTCAATCTGCGGTGTTTGGCAGAGAGAGTTAAACACCTTGTACAACTACAACTCCCATTATTAAAGACCTTGTAGAACTACACCTGCCATCATTCCATAGCATTGAGTCATGGCAGTCAATGGAGGGGGGTGTCAAACTGCTGTGTTTGATAGGGTGGAAGACCTTGTACAACTACAGCTCCCATCATTCCATAGCATTGAGCCATGGCAGTTAAAATGGTGACAAACCACATTAATTCTACAGCGAGTACTGTATATTCCTGGTATCGCTTCAGTTATAGATATGAAAATACAAATGTCTCAAATCTGAAAAAAAAATTGAAATCCAAAACACTTGATAACAAGCATTTCAAATTAAAGATACTCAGCATGTGTCTAATGATACCTTAAAGCAGTGGTTTTCAACCTGTGGGTCCCAGATATTTTGCTCTTCAACTCCCAGAAATCCCGGCCAGTTTACCAGCTGTTAGGATTTCTGGGAGTTGAAGAGCAAAACATCTGGGACTCACAGGTTGAAAACCACTGCTTTAAGGTATCATTAGGCACATGTTGAGTATCTTTAATCTGAAATGCTTGTTATCAAGTGTTCTGGATTTCAATTTTTTGCCCAGAAGAGACTGGTAACGTCAAGATGAAAGAGGTTTATTTTATTAGTTGAGCAACCTGATGCATTTTGGCTAGTGAGCATATGCTCCCAAGGATTTCCTCTAGGGCTATTCCATTGATAAATTTCTGAACTCCCATATCATTCACAGGATGAGTGAAATAATAAGTTATTTCTAACTATAAGATTGGGCAACTGTCAAAGTTATCTTTAAAATAATGTAGTGGGAGTCTAGTGGCACCTTAGAGACTTACAAGTTTTGGTTGGCATAAATCTTTGTGGACTGCAGCCCATTTCATGAAATGCTGCTGGAGAGGCCAACAGTCTGCGAAAAGGTGCCAAAGCAAATTTAGTCATCTTGAAAGTACAACTGGACGTTTTTGGTCTTGCTATAAAATAGTTACTACATCCTCTGGAAATGATTCCAATAAGCAAATAGTTCTTTCAACTATTGTATGGAATGCTTGATTTTGATCAAGCATTCCATTTCCCAACTACTGCCTTTCTCCATAGTTACCCCACACGTCTAAAATTCTGCATCTTAGTTCAAAATAATTGCACTCCTCCTTCTGTATTAAGGATGTTTAAACCCAGAATTTCCACATTACCCTAAATAAGGATAAAGTTTAATTTACAACCATCGCAAGAAGAGGTAACAAAACCCAGCAATTGTATTTCCAGTTCTGTCTGATGTGTGGGGAGTGTCTTTTTTTCCTAATGTTCCAGAGACTGGTGTCATACTTGTTTGGACATTTGGGTTTTTTTGGGGGAACCTCTCTCTACACTGATAGCTGATGGTTCGTGGATTCGCAAAAGTCCATGGACCACCACTTTGATTAGCATTGCTCTACAAGATGTTGCTATTGCTATTGGTGCTTAAACGTGCAGCTAATGTTTTTCAGATGTCTTTCATTTTAGAAGATTCCGTCACCTAGTAGTCTTTGAGGCAGTGAATATGTTATCTTCTCACTTAAAGCAATTTTTAAAAACATGGCCTTGAAACAGGTGTTTTCTGTTTGGGGAAAATTCCATTCCAATAATACTGAGAAAGAATGGAAGATCTGCAATGGGACAACATTTGAATGATGCCACAATTGGTGAAGGTTTATTTTCATGTGCTGCTGAGATGGTTACAAACTGATGATGGGGCCCAGAGATTGAGGAAGAGGCCAATTAAATTGTTAGCATGACACATTATAAAGTGCTGCCAAAGTTCAAAGCAGAACAATAATCCTCTGGAATCTGTAAAGAATGAGACAATCCACCCAGGATGGGGTCAAGGAAGACTTCCTGAAAATGAGGAAACATGCTATTGTATAAGGTGCCACAGTTTTTTTTTCTTAGTAAAAAAAATCCCAACTCTTTTATATATTTTATATATATTTTTATATATTTTACTAGCTGTGCCCTGCCACGCGTTGCTGTGGCCTATAGTAAAACTTATCAAAGTTGAGGTAGATATCTGGACTATTATGAAAGAGAGGTACCTACCTATTCCTTCCCCCTTTTCCTCCCCCTTTCTCTCCTTTCTTCCTTCTCTACCTCTTTCTTTCTTTCCTTCTTTCACTACTTGGTTTCATCCTTCTCTCTTTCCTTCATTCCCTCCCCCTTTCTTCCTTTGCCTTTCTTCCCTCCCTGTTTGCTTCCTTCTTTCTCTTTTTATTTCCTTTTATTTCACCACCATCATAACAATAACAATAATGCAATGCATTGCCTCTGGGACCTGACACCTCTCCCATTCCCCCTAAAAGGGTCTCATAGGAATAATAGCATCATAATAATCATAGAAATAACAACCTTTACCCGCCACGCGTTGCTGTGGCCAACCTTCCCTCTTTCTCTCCTTCTTTCCTTCCTTCCTTCCTTCCCTCCCATCTTTCCTTCTCCTCTTCCTTCTCTATCTCTTTCCTTCTCTATCTCTTTCTTTCCTTTCCCCTTTTTCTCTTCTGCTGTCTCTCTTTTCTTCCTTCCCTCCCTCTTTCTCTACATCTTCCCCCTTCCTTCACTCCCTCTTTCCTTCCTTCATTCCCTTTTTTCTTTCCTCTCTCCTTCCTTCCTTCCCCCTTTTTCTTTCTCTTCTGGTCTCTTTTCTTCCTTCTCTCTTTCCTTCTTTCCTTCCCTCCCTCTTTCTCTACATCTTCGCCCTTCCTTCACTCCCTCTTTCCTTCCTTCATTCCCTTTTTTCTTTCTTCTCTCCTTCCTTCCTTCCCCCTTTTTCTTTCCCTCCCTCTGTCTCTCATTTCTTCCTTCTCTACCTCTTTCCTTCCTTCCCCCTTTTTCTTTCTCTTCTGCTGTCTCTCTTTTCTTTCCTTCCATCTTTCCTTTTCTTTCCTTTTCTTCTTCCTTCTTTCTCTAACTTTCCTTCCTTCCCCCTTTTTTTTCTCCCTTTCTCTTTCTTCCTTCTTTCCTTCCTTCCTGTCTTTCCTGGATTTTGACAGGGCGGGAAGGGGCGGTGGGGTTTGGAGGTGGCGTGAAGTAAAAGGAGGTAAGATTGGGGCAGGCGAGTGATGGAGCGTGGGGTTGCATGTGTGTGTGCGGCAGCGGGGGGAGTGGGGTTGCGTGTGTGCGTGCGGCAGCGGGGGAAGTGATGGAGTGTGTGTGTGTGGCGGGGGGGGTGATGGAGCGTGGGGTTGTGTGTGTGTGGGGCAGCGGGGGGGAGTGGGGTTGCGCGTGTGTGTGTGCGGTGGGGGGAGTGATGGAGCGTGGGGTTGCGTGTGTGTGTGCGGCGGGGGAGTGATGGAGCGTGGGGTTGTGTGTGTGCGTGCGGCAGGGGGGTGTGTGTGCGGGAAGCGGCGCGGCGGGGCTTGGAGTGGGCATGGCTTCCGCAGAGGGAACTGTGTGCGCGCGCCAGGGAACTTGCGGCTGGGCACCAATGCGCATGCTCAGTTGTTTTGCCGTTTTGTGAGTGTGTTGTTGTGTTGTTTTTCATTTTGAGTAGATATGTTTGTACCTTATGGGTTGTGTTATGGGCATGGGAATTTTGGTTAAGTTTCGTTGGGGGGTTTGTGAGTTTTGTTGTTTTGCCGTTTTGTGAGTGTGTTGTTGTGTTGTTTTTCATTTTGAGTAGATATGTTTGTACCTTGTGGGTTGTGTTATGGGCATGGCAATTTTGGTTAAGTTTCGTTGGGTTTTTTTGAGTTTTGTTGTTTTGCCGTTTTGTGAGTGTGTTGTTGTGTTGTTTTTCATTTTGAGTAGATATGTTTGTACCTTGTGGGTTGTGTTATGGGCATGGGAATTTTGGTTAAGTTTCGTTGGTTTTTTTGAGTTTTGTTGTTTTGCCGTTTTGTGAGTGTGTTGTTGTGTTGTTTTTCATTGTGAGTAGATATGTTTGTACCTTGTGGGTTGTGTTATGGGCATGGGAATTTTGGTTAAGTTTCGTTGGGGTTTTTTGAGTTTTGTTGTTTTGCCGTTTTGTGAGTGTGTTGTTGTGTTGTTTTTCATTTTGAGTAGATATGTTTGTACCTTGTGGGTTGTGTTATGGGCATGGCAATTTTGGTACAGTTTCGTTGGGGGGTTGTGGAGTTTTGCTGTCCGGTTGAACCAACCTAACAGATTTATATATATAGATATATTTTTATCCTTTTCTTCAGTTGGACTGAGCACTTCATTTCCCCATTTGGAAATTAAATGAATGATTTTCCTGCCCCCCCATCACACGTTTTCCCTCATTCCACTTTTTAAATTTTCTATTTGCCTACCGATCACATGGGATGCATATTTCTCCTCTCACTGCCTCTTCTCACCTTTTCTTTTGATAGAAAAATCCTCTTTGTTTTTTCTCGTTCCTTCCTCCTTAGCCCCTAAAAGGTAATGGAGGAAGAAAGGAATCTATACTGACTATCTCGGCTCCTCCCTCCAGAATGACATCATTGTTATGTTTACAAACAGATAATGGGGAATTCCCATCACGTGTGAAATTTGACATTTTTACCAGTCCTCTTATGCAGATAATTTAAAATGAAGTCAATTACCAATCAAATTAGGAATCATCCAGAAAAAACACACTTTAGAAACAGTACAATAGTGGAAACCCACGATATGAGCTTGCATCATCTGATGAGCTCTGTTGCGTGTGATGAAGTCCTTAGAAAAATTGATTCTGTCCACTATTGAAAAAAGAAAACTCAATAACCAGCAACCCTCTTCTACTTAATATCTGCTATATTGTCTTAATTATAGAATCACCACGCTATTTTCTGTCTTACTTTATATGAGTGAAGGCAAGTGTGATAGACAAATGTACTATAGCAGTATTACTCAAATTATTTTCCTTCTGCAGACCATTTTAACATTGCTGAGAAGATAGCAGACCCCTTAATAATGTACTTTAAAATCTACAAACGGAAGCACATAATTCATATTTTAATAACCTTGGTTTTGCCTTTCTAGTGCGTGGATGTGCCATTTTTCTTAGCAAAGTTCTCTGAGGTTGGATGTAATGTTTGTCAGCTTTAGCCTCAGGTCAGTTTTAGTTTCAATCATTTTTCCCAATGCAGAAGGTGGGTGGCAGTTGTCAACCTTTCTGCAGACCACCCATAGTTTATAGATGATGCTTTGAGAAACTCTGTTAAGTGGAATAAGAAAGAAATTATAAAATATTGTTTGGAAGAGAGTGGGATGTTCTCTATTTTGACCCTCTTTCCCAAGCTTAATTATCATGTCTTAATAGAAAACATCAGTTCTCCACTTGGTTTCAATTAGGAAATAGTCTATCATCTGAAAACATGTACAGTTTTGTGTTAATCTTTTAAGCACAATTAAAAACTGAGACAATGCTTCATTGTACATATTCTTCAAGTGGATTTTTTCAGTTTGTGTATTGGTAGGAAATTTCTGTATTAGAGATTTATATGTGATCAGTCTTCATTGATATAAGAAATGAAATATATTTCTTGCTATCAGTGATTCCTGTTCAGCAGGCTTCATTGCAGTCTTGATATATGTCTTTCAGATTTTTTCAGTGCCAGGGATTCCTCTTATTGTAACCAGTATAGATGAGAGTGAAATTCAACAGGTATAGTATTCCCCATGAAGTTGCATAACAGGAAAAAAGGAGTACTAGTAAAATTTATTCCTGTCCCACTGCTTTCCTTATCCTGCACTTTCCCCCAATTCCCTGAAGACACAAGTGTATCTCAAATTGGCATAATAGGAAACTATGCATTTCATCCATACTTAGCCATACTGGAAATTGAATTATTGAAATATATGAGATTAATACTGATCATGTGTATGTTCAATCTCAGTAATATCAACTTGTCAGTTTTAAGTATGGATGCAAGACAATGTTTTTCTAGTTGTAAGTAAATTCCTAAAGAACATTTTGAATCTACAGCAACACCGGTTGTAGTTGTGAATCGTTTGTGGTTCCAGGACTGGTCATTTAATGGAGTAAATTCATATCTCCTTGGTTTGGCAGGGATATGCCCAGTTTAATCTCTGTCATCCCACTCTTTCAGCTGCTTGTAAAATGTCTTTGATTCTCTTCCATCTTCTTCCTGGCTAAATTCAAGATGCAAAATTAGTTTGTACTCAGTTAACTCAAACTACCAGCTGGAGCTGGTAGTTGTGTTTTAACTGTTTTATTATTGGATGGAATATGTTTTAATGGTTATGTTCATATGTGGCATTGAATTTTCTGGTGTCTGTAAGCCGCCTTGAGTCCTCTGCAGGGTGAGAAAGGTGGAGTATAAATGAAGTAAATAAACAACTTAGCAGGAGGGAAAGAAGAAGACAGACAGTCTTGTAAGGCTTTCCTAAACCCAGCACATACATTTCAGTATTTCTGTGCTTAAAATGTCAGTCTTGTGCATTTCCCCCCATTAAAAACTTTTTTTCCATCTTGTTGCCTGGCGACGTATTTTTGACCACACTCTGATGTGGCTCAGCCACATGTGTCTTTGTTTGTAATGTGTGAAATGTTGGCGATCATGTAAATGAAGTGTTGTGACTGAAGCCATTCTGTTGCATTTAACAATCTACCCTCACAATCCTATTTATTTTACTGTGGTTCTCTATAGCTACATGGTTACGGGCTTTTTGATCCAGCAAAAAGTGTAATTGTATATTATTGGAATATACTTTTAAATATCAATATATTTAATTACAATGAGAAAAAAACCTTTAAATATTATAGTGTTCCAAGATATTTAGCAATGTATACCATTGTTCTTGATATATTATAGAATCAGCTGGATATCTGATATAGTCGTGGTGGTATCACTAGAAAATGTTGAAAAAATGAAGTTTATTGTAAAAAAAATTGGCCACAAGAAGACAACAGTGGTTGAAGGTGGAATGACTCGCCACAGATCTATCTTCAATGGATTGGATATATTTGTAAAGAGCAACCATTCTAGTCAACTCCTCAAGAAACCAGAAGTTGTAATAATCCATGATGCTGTGAGGCCATTTGTTGAGGAGGACATTCTTTTTAAAGTCGTTATGGCTGCCAAAGAGCATGGGGTAAGTTCTGCAAAATTTAGCATTTATAACTTTTTTTTTGTTATAAGTGGTATGAGATAGCATTGTTGTAATTAATCTGAAATATGTATGTAAGATAGCTGATAAAAAATGTATGCTCAGTATATTTAAGAAATGGTATTCAACTAGTTTATGCTGTGTCCTTTTTACTATCTGTGTTACATTAATAATATTGGCAATATCAGTTTAACTCATCTAGAATATGTGATTTTGTATCTTCCCTATCTCAAACTCAAATACCTTTCAGGAGCATTGTGGCTTACAAATACCTTTCAGGACCATTGTGGCATTTGAAGGTCAGGATTAAGCTGTGAGAGTTTTTCAAGAATGGATAAAATGTAACTCAGTTTTGTAGGTTATTTTTATCTATAAAATTTTCCCCAAGTTATAGGGATTAGTAAGTTCTAGCACTTCACAACAATATGTATATTTTGATTTTAAAAAAATTAATCACCTACACTTAATCACTGGCCCAAAAATGAAACATGATTGAAGCACCAAAGTTTGTTAGCAATAGACTCCTCACTCCTAATTCTATGTCATTTATTGTCTTTTGTGAACAACCCTGCTGAGTTAACAATAACCACTTAAATGTAGCAACAGGAAAAATAAAGTAAGAGATACTTTTTGTTTAATTCTGCTTGATTTTCCATAGTTTGTTTAGATATTTGTCACCAGTATTTCTGAACAATGTATCATTGGACAAATATATCAACACTAGCTTTTACCTAGGGAGTCCTCAATCTCACAAACATGGAAATGTTCTCTTCTCTTACTACTGTGTTGTAGGCTTGCTTACTTGGTACTTGGCTATGAAAATTATCTGTAGTGTGAGATTACGAGTGGTTTTTGAGTCAGAAAGATTCAGACATATTCCTTTCCCTTATTACTGCCTGCTAATGTGAAGAATTAAATAACTTAACACGGAAGATCACATATACAGATAAAGAGAGGTTCCTGACATATAAGTGTTAATTCTTTCTGAAATAACTTAAGAATTCAGGCTAAATAGTCTGATCTTGGAAACTTGGTTGGGTTAGTTCAGATTAGTATTTCGGTTGGAAACCATCAGTGAACCCTAGGTGCAGTAGGTTGTATGTCAAAAGGAATGAACTAGTTAAAACATTTCTGAATATTCCTTGCTTAAGAAAACACTATAAAATTAATGGTTGGCAGGCAATTTGATGCACCTACATACGCATGCATAGCTCTAGTCTTGATTTCACAAGTGCTCAAATTTTGACACCAAGCAAAAATGCATAGACAGAAATACTAAAGTCATTTAGAGAAGAAGAATGGCTTTTAAAGGTTCACAAATTAAAGCTTAAACTAAAGATATTAGGATATTGGTAACTGATGACACTGGGAGGTTATTTGGGTGTATTTTCGAATAATGTTCTATATTCATACATTAGAATTTGCATTACCTATGTCACATCTTGGAGCCCCCGGTGCCGCAGTGGGCTAAAGTGCTGAGCTGCTGAGCTTGTTGACCGAAAGGTCGCAGGTTCGAATCCGACCTAGCAGTTCAGAAACATGCAAATGTGAGTAGATCAATAGGTACTGCTCTGGCGGTAAGGTAATGGCACTCCATGCAGTCATGCCAGTCACATGACCTAGGAGGTGTCTATGGACAACGCCGGCTCTTCGGCTTAGAAATGAAGATGAGCACCACATCCCAGAGTCAGACACAACTGGACTTAATGTCAGGAGACAACCTTTACGTTTACCTTTTATGCCACATCTTTTGGGTTCATTGAAAACTGACCATAACTTTGCTTATGATTGGCTCTACTAATAGAAGGATGTTATCTGAAAAAGAGCACTCTCACCATCCAATACAAAATGCAATTCCACCCCCCCCCCCCAAAAAAGGAAAGCTACTTGGAAAGCTACATAAATGAGATACGTTTTCAGTGTAAAAATAATTATTTCCTTCTAAATTATGCATTTAGACTTCCTTCCTTTAACAAAAATTGGCTGAAACATCACATTAAATGCTACTTTAGCATTCAGGTTCTGCATACCATATAGATAGCATAATTATATGAAGTTTTAATGTTCTTAAAATGGCAATTGATCAAGTAGGATATTGCACTCCTTAATTCTTCTTGTCAGTAGAATAAATTACTTTATTACATTTACTAATCAGTTTGTTATTTGCCTGCAGGATTAGTATGTGCAGTTTACAGAATTACTAAATTGTGCCTTAATAAATTAATTAAATGAAACAATCTTCTGATTGTGTTAGAATACAGCTTTGTAACCAATTAATTTCCATTTATGTTTTCAAGCAATTTATAATTAAAACTATGCATTTCTAGAAACCATATATTTTGTTGCCAATACAAGTTGTGGAAAGTAGTAGAAACAGAAGAAGGCAGCATTCCAAAGCCCCTGGCAACTTTCTGTTGCCAACAATTTGAACAGTACCACAAAGAAAAGTGCTTGCAGCTTATTTCTTTTTAAAACTTGAACTTGTCAGACTTGGTTGAAAAATAGTATTGAGAAACTGAGTATATTTAACTGCGGCAAGGTTTGAATTGAATGTCTCATTCTCTCTGTGCAACATTTACTGATGTAAGTAGAACAGCAACACCTGAAAACCACCCACATTTTGAAGATTCAGATAACCAGAGTTTTTATGACTGTTCTTAAAAAGTGTATCTTATTTCTCTGTTTCATGGTAAATGAAAAAAGTCAACATATTAGGATGGTTTTTCAAGCTCCAGACAAACATTTAGACTGAAATTTTTAATATATATATTTTAAAAGAACCATTAAACTCAGCAGGATGTGCTTCTGAGTAGATTCATATGAACTTTCACTTTTGGTTTGTGAAATTCTACTTATTGAATGAAATGCATAATATTACTGTATCATCACATTTTTCTAGATTCTTATTTAACCTCAGAATACAATATCCTACCATATACGAGTTGCCTGAATTGCTAGCTGTAATTTGAAGTTGAGTAAATATGGAAGGAATATTTTTGCTATTTGAAATACAGGCAGTCTCCAAGTTATGGACAAGGACCTTATCACATTAACCTTGGGTTTCGCCATGCACCATGGCAAATCCATGAAGTTCTGGCTGGGGGGTGGGGGTGGTGGAGAACCCATTGATTGTCCCATGCCCCACATCATCTGACTTACCTGAATCCCCATCCCTCAAGGAAAAGTGTTCGCTGCCCAACTTCCCCCTGTTGTTGCAAATGCAACACGGGAAGCCTCCCATGTTGATACTGTGGCAGCATACACCGCTTCCTTTCCCCTTTTACCACAGAACCCTACTGGAAGTAGATGTACATTGTGTAATGGGGTCCATGACAAAAGGGGAGAGGAACCTGTGTACAACGGGCAAATTAGCCTATATGATGAGGTTGAAAGATAGCTTCTGTAGGTTTGTTCATAAGCTGAAGTTTTACGTAAGTCGGAATGAAACTCCTGCCAAAAATTATACATTTGTTAGCTTTGGATAGTGTAGGGAAGAGTTGGCACCCTTGTGATGTTTGTTTTGCTGTCTCTGCTCCTGTTCAGAAGATGTCATCTTGCTTTCTTTTTGGAAAGGATTGATGATAAAGCTTCAGTGGAGGCACTTTTTCTCCATGACTACTCTTTCAGGAGTGAATTTCCCTTCCTAGTGGTAGATTTCCCTCACTTCTTTCCCTCACTTCTCACCCCTGTTTTTAACTATGAGTCATTCTTAAATCAGATGTTTGTAACTCAAGGACTGCCTATAGTTTATTAGTTCTGTAAATGAAAGTTAAGTCTAGCAAACATATTTAACGGTTCTGTTCTTTGGAATTTAGGAATGATGTTGCATCTACCTTGATTTTACTCTTAAAGCAAAGTGGTTTTAACTATAATATTCCAATGTGTTTCTAAAACTCAATAGTAGTTAATATTTATATAGTGTACCCCTACATAGGCCAAAAAGGGTGACACTTATCCAGAATGGGGTACATAAGATCAGTGTTGCTATAGTCCACACACCTATTCGCTGAGTTAGCTTGTGAATTGGATGTTGGCTGCACTGCACACCGTTGAGCTGGCCCATGGTTGGGTGGCATTTGCACGTCCCGGTGGCACCCGAATTGGCTCAGTACTACCAGAATGCCAGCTTTATCTTGCCCCTGTCATTCTGGGTTTTGCACTGCTCACTAGGCATTAAATTGGTGCTGATCACCATTCGGTGCCTGTAATGACAACAGCCCGAGTAACAAAATGATGTGAGAGAGGGCAGGAAAGGAGGGTTTGCTCTCTCCTTTTGCCGAACTATTCTCCAATTGCTTCATTGCTCCATCTAGTGTCCTTACAGGTGTTGAATGGTGACAGGAGCCATTTTCCTGCCAGGGGAGCACTACAAACCCCACAACAGTGGTGCAATGTATGTTCCATCTCCTGTCCCTGGCTTTCTAAACTCAGATAAAGAGGGATGGCAAGTAACAGCCGCATTCCCAATATGAAGTCATTAAACTTTTTATGCTGGTTGAAAACATGGATGAGCTCCAGAGTTGCAGGGCTCAAGGCCTGAATCAGCTTCATGCATTAATCAGATGCCAATGATCTGATTGGTTCCCGCTTTGGAATAAGGGGTCCATGGTGAATTTACATATTGCTAATATTTTTCATATATTATAATAGTACTATGTCCTTTAGGCATTAAAAGTCAATAGTTTTTATCATTATCCTTCTTTTCTGTCACCTTCAATGTTTATCTAAGGGTTCAGTAAATTATTTGCAGTTAAAAAATCTTTCTAGTCCACCTTTTAGTCCTAAAAGGAACCAGACCTCACAAGGTAATTTTTAGTTCAGGACTGAAGCAAAAATTAATAGAGCAATAATTGCTGTGAAGATTTATATCCCTGCATATAAATCAGAAGCCAGTGCAATGAAGAGAAGACTCTGCAATATGATAATCAAAATACATACTAGAAAGCATTTATGGCTACAGCAATTTATACCAGCTCCAGTTTCCA